TTTGATTTCATTTATTGTTTATACTGGTTAGCATAACATACCCTGTGTGAGTGACTCTTAAGGCATTTGTTTGTATTTACCGCTAAAGTGTCCAGTGGGAGGGGCCTAAACACATATAAGGGGAGCCCTTCCGGCCTAGACGGGGAGAGTTGTCAGGTTACAGAGGAGGTAACAGAGGAGTTCCACTGATTATGGAAATACTTTTTTTTTTCATTCTTTATTTTTGTACATACTGTATTTGTATTTTTTTTCTCTCCACTGTGAATATATTTGTGCATTCTGGTGTTGGAATACGGGCAAGATAAACACCTCAGCACGTGAAGTGGACGTCTGCCTCTTATTCACAAGAACCCCACGACAATCACAAAGGTGGGCTGTACAGAAACAACAAAAATAATGAGCTGAAAATTTTTCCACAAATCCTCCAAGCCCATGGGCCCCCAGATTATCAGCGACAACACACTCTACCCTTGATAACCGAACCAAGGAGGGGAATGAATAAACCTAGCTTCTCGGGTCTGACTAAATCACATAGCAGAAGTTCAAATACTTTTTCATAACCGAAAGATTTAATTAATTCACTTTTACACAACAATGCTAACTAGATTGAGGAAAGGGCTGAGCTTCAACCAGACGGCAAGTTCCCCAGAATCCAATAAAAGTTTATGTTTTTTGCGAGATGTTCTTAGTGGGTTGCACACTTCGTAATCATCAATACATAGGCATAATGAAATTCTGAGTTCCCCACTTGAATAGAATATATTATTCTTATGATTCTCACCATCCTGAAAACATGTAAGCAATTGTGAATTTGAAAGAATGCTTTTATATTGGTCAACCAGCTTTCCAACAATGTCTTTACGTTTAAGTAACTGCTCCAATAACTGCAGCAGTGGAATATATTGAAAGGTTTTGTTAGTCTTTCCCTCTAGAACATATTCCTCTAGCTCAACAACATTAAACTTATCATAGTAAAACTTCTTGCGCTTAAATGATGTTTCAAGTGATCCTCCTTTCGCAATACTTTTCAGTAGTGGATTTTCACTGTATAATGCAGTGCACAACTCGTTCACTAGCGATGCAGAAACCTCAATATTATGTTCCTTGAGAACAGCCAAAATTAAACTATTTGCTAAAGGTAAAGAAGAACTAGTGAATAAAAAATGTAGCCCCTCAAGTAAATGATCAATTGCTGATGTTGGAACATGTAAAAAGACCTCCAACTTTAATAAAACCAAGGCAAGGTTTTTAATACTGAAGTATTAAAATTACATCTCTTTGTTTTGATGCAGCAAGTGATTTCCTGTGGCTATCCGAGAATCTGAGAGGAGTCTTCTGCTGAACGAGCTCCTCTGCTGAGCCAGTGTGTAGTTTTGAGATGGTGGTGTGTATTATACTGCAGGCAGGATGTTGGGTTTGCAGAGGGAGGGATGTACAGGACAACAGTGTGGGATCTCTCTAGTAGATGGTATGGACGGAGTCCAACAACCAGCAGTTTAACACCCGGGCTACAGAGCTGTTCTTTGATGGTGATGTGACCCGGGTAACACCATCTGCTGTTTACAAGAAGGGCACTTTCATCTTTGTGGTTGCCACTCTTAGTATCCCGGTCGGCCCGGACGGTGTGAAGGCCATCCACGGAGACACTCTGGTCCGATATGTCCATGTGCAGCCACGTCTCAGTGAAACACATCAGACTGGATTCCCGGCACTCCGGGTGGCCCCACGGCAGTGCTGTTAGCTCGTCCATCTTGTTGCCAAGAGACCGTACGTTGCCCGTAAAACAGTGGGGAGACACTGCTTAAATCTTCTCTCAATAAGCCCTTGCGACCTTCCTTTCATCCCCCGATGTTGTTTTCCTCCTCTTCAACCTTGGCGTTTTTTCTTCCAGAGGTCAAGTGGTACCTCTGCTGGTCTGGTCACCACGCCGGCCGGCTTCAATGCGATCAGCTGTTCTCTGGAATTAACAACGGCAGTGAACAACGGCAGTGTATCCCGTTGTAGGCAGCATACAAAAACAGCACAAATAAGGGCTCGAAACTTTCTGAAAAAAAATACCTCATTAGAGAGGACGAAACTTCACAGAGTTACAGTGAAGCAACAGAGCAAACAAAGAAAAAAGAAGTTAAGAAAGTTACAAAAAGCGAACACAAAAGGACAAGAGGATGAATCTATACTGCTATACAAGCTGTACAATGACTACTTGAAGTTGTATCAAGCGTAGGTCAGGCCAAACAACAACAAGAATGCCTCAGAAAAGGTAGAGATTTCAAAATTATATTGCCATCAACAATGACAGAGAAATTCTCACAGGTGAAGGGGTCAGGACCAAAGGAGAGGGGAGCAACAAGAACATCGTTGAAATCAGACTCTTCCTCATGCAATAAACAATGTATATTTATAATAATAACCAACCAGTGAGGTATAGAAAAATAGTTAGACAGTTTTGATTAGTTAATCCAGAGATATTTTAATGACTAAAAATGTCAATTGATTCCATTAATGTCACATTGTCCCAAAGGACATGGTCAATGGCAACATGTGGCATGCGAAAATATACAGACTGGATACTTAAAGCAAAACACCGGCAAACTTTGATTGTAGGCTCTATGTGTGCATGGGCACAAGTCAAACATTCGGTCAATGAGACAATTACGTCTGAACCCGTGTATTCCATTAGTAGACTTCTACTCGCTTTAAGCTGTATTGCTTTCTATGAGTGAACTGTGGGCATTTGGGACACGCTTGCAAAAATGACAATCTGTAAACACTTAGAGGGTTCCACATTGCATGAAACTTCGTTCAAAGTATTATCAGGGTCTCTATATATGAACTCAAACATAGATAACGTAGTTTGAGCACACATAGCTCATTAAAATTTTTTTTTTTTTGCGAGCGTGTCCAACTTGCCCACAGTTCGCCCATAGAAAGCAATGCAGCTAGTACTGGAGGACGCGGGTTTGGACGTAATCGTCTCGTTGACCGAATGTTTGAGTGTAATCGAAGTTCGCCGGGGCTTTGCTTTAAGGAATGAATTTGTATGGATGGTTAACATTTAAGAGTTGACAGTACTTACATTGCATGTCTGGAAGATCACTGAAACATCCTCACGTAGATAGACAAGAAGTGCACAGAGGGCCAAGATGCGTCTCAAACTGACACTATGTTCTTCCTTGACTGACAAAACAAAAACAAAAAGACAAAAAAAACAGAAGTACATTTGAACTCAAACTTCATAAAGTGATTTTCTCTGACTCCCTACTACACTCCCTCACATGTCTCACAATATTCCAAATCAACTTGTTGTCATGTGAATATCTACCAGGCAGCCATATGCTAAAGACTCTTTATGAATTCTACGAGCCAAACTAAAAATGTATGCTGGTGCTATTTTTAAACCCTGGCTAACATTTCACGCCATAGCATTCAAACACCAAATCTGCCCAATGTTAAGGCAATGGGGAATAAGCAGATCCTATCCTGTCAATGGCAATGAACATTGCAATAGTTAAAAGCTAATGCACTCTAGAGGTTTAAAGACATAAACATACATGCTATTAAAAGATTAATGAGGAAAAATGTGGTGGCTTAAAAAAATCAGTGAAAATAAACCCTCCATATCTACACACTCCCTTCAGCTGCAGTCCGAGCATGATGGGGAGATTCTTTTTTACAAAGACGAGCATTTCAACATCCTTAGGTGTCAGTCTGCTCCTGTGTTCATCAATGATGAGTGAAACTGCACGAAAAAGCCTCTCCCTCTCAACGTTTGTGCAAGGAGCACTGAGGAACTTGGCTGCTGTTGCTGCCAGGGTGGGTAGACAAGCCTGATTGTCTCTCTAGTAGTGAAAAGTATTGTTCTTACGCCCAAGCGGAGGCTCACTGAGTTAGCTCTCCACCACCCCTGGGGTGATCTTCTGCTCAGACTGACCAGCCACTGCTGTCTCCTCCAGTATCTTGTCAAAGTAGCTGCCCAGGCTGCTGGTTGAGCTTCAAGCCTCCATTCCTGATGTTTACCTTTCTGGCTCAGCCTCAGCCACACCTTCTCCAGAGGCCATGGTCTTCAGTTCTTGTTCTATTTTCATCACCTCTACCTTTAGTGCCTCTTTTGCCTGATCCAGGTTGGTAGCATTAGGGAAGAACCTTGAAATTTGGATATAATGTAATAAAGATGTATCGATTATTTTATATTGTTTCAGCCAGTCTCCACATATTAATGTTCAATGACAACAAGTAACACACAAAATAGATCACAAATGATCAGCAAATGATCAACAGTGATGTTATTTGTCACCCATAAGATACTAATAGTAACACAAAAATAATAACACTAATAATAACAAATTCCCATTACCTTATATCTATAAAACAATAGGCTACTGAAAAACTGACAAAGAAATAAATGCCAGCTGTGCAGTAAAATATTTTAAATATTGTACTAAGCTCATAACATGGTCAAATAATTAGAAACCACATACCCGTCTTTGTAGCGTGGATCTAGCATTGTTGCCTCAGAGTGGAGGGGTTCGGTTTCCACATGGTCAAAACGTGTGTGAACCGCATCGAGTAATGTGGCCGTCATGGTGTGAATCCCTCGGTGTTCTTCACTCTCACTGTCCAGAAAGCGCGTCAGGACTTGGTCAGATGGGATAACATCAGCTGTTGTGGCAGAGGCTGTACTGACCTCGGCTGTCAGCTCTTTGAAGGGTTTAAGAACTGTCACCATTTTCTCTAACAGTGACCATTGGTTGCCTTTATATGTGGCTGGAAGATTGCTGTTGCTATCCGATGCATAGGCCTGTAGTGCCCGCTTACAATGCACTAAGCTGTCGATCATCTTCGTACTGCTCCATCTGATCTTAACGTCCTGTTGCAAACGCTTTCGGTTCAACAAAGGCAAAGGCTGCAAACTCCTTTAACCCTTTATCGTTAGTCTTTCTCCCAAAAGCCTGTGCAACAGCTTTGAACACATGTGCAGAGCAAATGTGAAGCACTGTAAACATTTGGATCTCTTTCCATGTCTTCACTTTTGAAGAAATAGCAAATCCAAATACAGTAGCTTTTAATGCCTGTGACAGTTCTGCCACTGTGGGTGCTCCGACAGAGTTCTTCCGAGACCAAGATTAGCTTGTTCACTGTTCACTGAGTAGTGCCCAGCTGTAGTCTGTCCACCTGATGTACTCTTACCTTTGTGTACTGTGACAGTTTTCTGAGAAACTGCATTAACCAGAATGTAATTGGTGGTATAGAGTGTTCGTTGGTCAGTAAATATCTTCCTGTGAAGATGCATCCCGAGATGCATCATCATGTTCATTTTCCTCCTCATCCACAGATTCATTGTCATCAGACAGGTCATCTGCTAGAAGTTGTCTATTAGGTTCTTGTTGGTGATCCGTTGGAACTTCACTGAACTGTTGAAAATTTAGAATAGCAAAAATAAATCTTCGAAACAGTCATACAATTCCAACACCATCCTAATATAAAAATATGCATTTTATATACAGAAGCAACTCAAGACTTTTGTTTTGAAAATCAATATATTTATGATACATTCTTTGCTCAGCTTCTTACCACTTGCTCACATAACAGAGAAGGCCACCGTCCCTGAACCTCTGACACCATAGGCTCTAGCTCCACAATCTCCTCGCGCCTCAGGGAGAAAGTCAGCACCATCTTTTGCTGTAAGAGTTCAACAATCTTATTCCGCCTCAGATATTCTTCAACCAGAGCAAGTCTTTGCTCCTCCAGCGAGTCTTCAGTGGGATTATTTGGATGGTCAGGGACATGATTAATTTCCCCTCGCTTTGCTTTCTTCAAAGAAGAACCTGCAGCATCATCTTCATCGCATCGTCTTTTCCTATTAATGCTGACCTCGATACACTTTCCTTGTAACTTGGACCTGTAATTACCAAGTTGTATTTTATGCTCATTTTCCATCCATCATACCCTGTTCCACTGCCCGGTTCTCAAAGATAGGGGTGCTTACTGACAGTTCTTGTCAGTAAGCAACTAACCCAATCTGGTCTTGATCAGGATAGGCTTTCACTTCAAAAACTGCTTGAGCAATCCTGTCCAAAATGTCCATCTTCATGTCTCTTGTTAGGTCGATGCCCTTCTTGGTCTTTTCATATGCCTCATTGCTTGCACGCAACTTTAATTCCACATCATAGGAGAAGGCTGGAATGGGAAAAGGTGAAGGCCATCCGGATACACTTAGCAGGTAGTAGCAGATGAAACCTGAAAGACTCTGGGCTGACTCTCTACTGGATATGCTGGCTGTGTCCAGGGAAAACCCTGAATAAACAGAGTCTGACTCTTGCTGAGCAAGTGTAGGTGGATCATCCCAAAGAATGTGCAAGATGGCACGTTCCGGTGGCAACTCGTGGATATCAATCAAATTACAGAGAGCGTTATTAAAGTCTGGTTCTTCAAATTGTAGTGTGAAGCTACCTTGAAGTTCAAGATTTTCTATAAGAATGATTTGTAAGTGTTCAATTGATTCAGGCATTTCAGAGAGCACCACCTTACGAGACATTCTTGGGGAGATTTTCACTAGCAGCAATAAACCCTGTGTTAGATGAGAAAAGAATAAGAAAAGAGAAAGAAAAGATTTTGCATATCATCACCTGCATAACAAAGATCCCACAACTGGTGGCATCTTTCTGGAAGGTGTGGGTTATTTTGCCAGGCCTCCACTTGATGTTAACCCAATCTTCTTCTCCAAATCTATTCCGGCGCATGTTGAAGTAATGTCTGACAAAAGGAACAGAATTTTCGGTTTACATTTTCACAGACTCTATGGCCAAATGTGTCTGTAAGGTACCCAGTCTGTCACGTCTGGTGTCTCGTCATGTCATGATTACCTATTGTGTACACCTGGGGTTCCCCTCCCTCATGTGTTTAAATAGTCCTCGTTTCCCCTTGTCTTGTGCGAGTGCATTCTTGTCCGTCCGTCTTTCGTCACCCCCACGCCAGATTTGCTTTTGCCATAGTCTTTTACTTTGCCATACTCACAGTCTTGTCACAGTTTTGTTAATCGTTATTTTGTTACTTTGCCCCAGTCTTTTACACAATAGGTAATCATGACATGACGAGACACCAGACGTGACACAGTCCTCATAATTTCATAATACCCAAATTTGTAGCCAGCCATTTTGGAGTCCTCAACTTCATTGGACCCTTGAAGAGGATGAACCACACAAATGTGGTTTGAAAGGCTATGAAGATACTGTTTAAAAAATTAAAATATCATTAAACTATACCATCCCTAAATATGTCATCAACCACATCAACAATGAAAATATTTGTAAAAGTTTAAAACCACCTTTGACAAATTGATACATTTCCATGTATCAATGACAAATATCAAAAACAGAGCTCATGATCCTAAACTTGTGAATGTGTTAGTTGAGTCATTATAATTCTTAGATTAATACTGAACTGATATGAAAAATATGTAAATAATATTACTGTATTTTTGTAGTTTCACTATTCCAAACCATTTCTCCACATGTCAGTGTTTGTCCCTTGTTTTGCTTAGGCCAAAGGTGTAATTCTTCTTCTTTGTCAGATGCAAACCTTTTTACATTTCCCAAAAGCAGACCACTCCAAAGGGGAAAAAGGCCCAGGTAGTTCAAAAAGAACATCAACAACAACTGGGCAGTAGTAAGGATTGTCCACATCTTCTTTGATTTCTGCATTCTCTTTTTCAAGCTCTCCTTGCACCTCCTTCAAGACCTTCTTAATTGTATAGGTGAAGTGAGATTTGCCTAAAATTGTGTGTGCATTCCTTCTATCTTCATCACTTTCCTCCTGAGCTACAGGACTTTCTTCCAGTTTGCTCGGTCGCTTCCACGTCAGGAATCGTGCTCTTTTTGATCAAGTCCTGTATGGCCTTGAGATTATTCTGCACAGTGCTGGGGTTGTATTTACCTGTTAATACAGTGCAAAATGAGCGGATGATTGTGATTGCAGAGGCCATCGATGTTGTATTTTGCAAATAACAAATGCAAAGGTTGCAAACTCCTTTAACCCTTTATCATTAGTCTTTCTCCCAAAAGCCTGTGCAACAGCTTTGAGCACATGAGCAGAGCAAATGTGAAGCACTGTAAACATTTGGATCTCTTTCCATGTCTTCACTTTTGAAGAAATAGTAAAGGCCCTATCCAAATAGCTTTCAATGCTCTCCTTGTTGAATGACAGAAGGACACTTTGGAGTCGTGCCCAGCTGTAGTCTGTTTCCACCTGGTTCACTCTTACCTTTGTGTACTGTGACAGTTTTCTTAGAAACTGCATTAACCAGAATGTGATTTGTGGTATAGAGTGTTCGTTGGTCAGCATTTCACAGACTGGAGGGGAGGTATATTCTGACCACCACCAGGAAGCGTAAGAGAGTAGTAAAGTACACTTTTGGTCTGACCTCGGACTTTAAAACATTACCTGTAGCATCTAGGTACAGGGTCAGTGGAGTCTTCCATCTCAGGTGTTGCACTGTTATGCTTATTCCAGTTTCTGTATACATATATACACTAAAGGGGGTCAACTTGTACGTGCTATATGTAATCAGGCATCTTGTGGAAATGGAAGTAACATTCCTTCATGATCTTTTGAGTTAGGTACATCTCCGTGAATACATCATCATGCACTCTTGTTGCTTTTCTAACCTCTGAATTATCACCTTAAGCAGATGTGGCCGTCGTGCCACCGTGGGTTTCTTGACAGAGTCTTTAGAGACCATGTTTCGTTTGTTTAACAAGGTTTTATTTGGGAGCGTGTGTGCCACACGCACACACATTCACTCATACGCACACACACTCACGCGCCCGCCCGGCTTGGGCTCGTTTGCTTTTAGGCAGTTGTCTGTCCGGTCCCAATCTGGTGGCTTGGGTCCTGCTCCAGCTCTCCTCTCCCCCCAGGTCCAGCACGCTACTCTTTTACAGAGGGGAGAGTGATTAGCCAACTGGTTCCAGGTGTGCTTAATCACCTGAGCCCTGCTCACCTGAGCCTTTCCCACACCTCCCCCCTGCAGCTGAGCACCACGCCCCCTCCACAGTAGATTTTTGTTTAAACTTTGTGTTATGTTTCCTGAAATCAGTTCATCAACTGGTGTTTTATGGAGCTTACGATAGAACGCTCACTCCTTTATGTAGAGCTTTTGCAATTCTCCCTCTCCGGGTTTTTGCGGTTGGTCTAAATTTAGTCTTATTTGTCTTGTGAGCCACTGTTCCTGATAGCAGCACAGCGATCTTGACTTGGTTGTCTCCCACTGGCTCCCTTTTCTTTTTAAAAAAGTATTTCGCACTGCAGTACGGGAATATACAAACAGCACCTTTATACAAATAAGGAAGGTTCATTATCCTGCTGTGGAGCGGTTTTATGTGCTGGCTCTTGAATGAAAGGATACAACAAGGATTCTTGTTGCGGAAACTGCTGTCCATGGTCGCCTAAATTTTGTGGAACCATGGTGCGGAACAATTTTTTTCCATTTCTTTGTATTCACAGTTATTGTGAATCTCTTAGGCACCACTGGCAACTTTCTCCATTCACTGTTGTCTCTGGTCTTGACCTGTTTAGGTTTGGCTCTTTTCTTTAATAGTATTTTTTTTATCTTGCTCTTCTCCTACTTCATTCTCATTGGTCTCTTCTTGTGCAACATCTTCATCATATTGAGCTGCACTCTGCAATGTCATTTGCTTTTCTTCTTCTACTTCATTCTCATCTGTCTCTTCCTGTGCAAAATCTTTATCAACTTGAGCACACTCTGCAATGTCATTTTCTTGCACTTCATTGTCTTCTGTGTCCTCATCTGACACTACTTTAATATTCTGAGTCTAATTTAGAGGCAGATCCTCTGTTCCAGTGTCTTCAAGTGCCACTTTATTTCATTTAGTTCCTGATTCATAATCAGATCCCTCATCCCATTCCGATTTTGGGTCCATATAACCCACAGCCAATGGCGATTTTTCTTCATATCTTCCGCAAATAGGTGTACAGATAGTTCAGACGATATTTGGGAAGAATAAGCTGTATCTCTGTTTGTTATGTTAACAGTTGTCATTGCTCTAACCACAGCTTCTTTTCCCCCTGCCACTGCCCATAGGTCTTTTCTATTTCCTCTGTTTATTTTTTTAACTCTTCCGATTGTCTTCAAATAGTCCCAAGCCTAGGGAAATGGGAACAGGGAAAAGCTAAAACTTTGACCTAAAAATGTGTGATGAAAATAGTGATTATCAATTATGTTTCACTTGTGCATAAAAACACCTGGGGTAAAAACTGAGGTATACAAAGTAATACAATGAGTTGACAAACACTTAATTCAATTATTACGCATTATACAAAGTTGACAAACTCTTAATCTAATCATTATCCATCATGCCAAGTTGATAAACACTTACTTTAATCATTATGCAATACCTATATAGGCATAGTAAAATAAAGATAAAAGATTACTTACTGTACATATATCCAAGGAAAGTTTGTGGTGGTAAACTGGCAAAGTACTCCAAAGGCAAAAATATGTAATTCTCCATCGGTTCTGCAGTAAAGACTGAAATCTGATTGGCTCCTGATTGGACAGTAAGAGGTCAACTTGGGGTGAGATGTGCCACACACTTTATTTCTGCAACAGGTTGGTCAAGTCTGTATTTTTTAAATATGCTAATTAAATTAACAAAATAAAAATCACCAAGAAGGTACAAATGAGATTTACAGTGGTTCTGGTGAAGCTACAGTTCATAATGGTTGAGTAATTGATTATTTATCCAAATAAAAAATCCCCCAAAATATTTAAAAAATATTGTATTGATATAATAAACACTTGTAGTATCACCAGGAGTGTGTGAATGATGTGTACAGTGATTTTGTTGAGGCTAAAATATATGAAAGTACAGTTATTGATTATCTTTTGTGTTATCTCTTTTCGTTATTGAAATTTGTAGACGGTCCCTACGCACTTGTTTCAACGCCGGTTGGTGGTGCAGAAGACGGCTTATTTAGATAAGTGTGAGGTTGTAGCTGGAGAGAGGCATTGGCTGTGTTTTTAAAATGTTCAGATTTTGAGTTATTGATACGGGAAGCGGAAATCTGTGAATATATTGCCAACTTTATTGCAGTGATGCTAGCACAAGGTGACCAGCAGCCAATAATCGTAGAAGCTATTATTGTCATTCGCTCTTGGTGGTGCCCTCTTGAGCTGGAGCTTTGTCTATTAATACAGAAGGCAGGTTAGGATTCTGACCAGACACCAGCTGATGTGGGCTGTATCCATGGACACTTTGCATTGAGTTGTTTGCCATCTGGGCCCAGTCCATGGCAGTGCTCCAGTCACATCCAAAACTTGCTTTGACTTTCAATAGGATCTCAGTCAGAGTTTGATTGTGGCGCTCTAACAATCCAATGCTCCACGGACTGTTAGCAGGTGTTGTCTTAACTTCAATATTAAATTTCTCGACCACGTCTCTCATTTCATCGTTATTAAACTCACAACCATTAGCACTGAACAACTTTTGTGGTGAGACATGCACACTGATCCAATCATGG